GTGAACTCTGGAGATGGTTGTTTCGGTAAATCTCAGCAGATCAGTATATTCTGAAATCCTTAGACCAGCCCATCCGGAACCAACAACTGTGCTATGCTCAAAATCACTTAAAACCCTTTCGTCCCCCTTCTGATGCCGAGTCTGAACTTCAGCAGGTCGTCTTGATCATTTCAACGTGGCTAAATGCATTAAGCAGGTGCCATTTGAATGGCTGATTTCTTATTAATGTTAATGACCAATTAAACAGACGTACCTGATGCAGTGGCCAGTGAGTGTAGTTTTTCTCTGTTAAGTCTAAGTAAAGGAGGACACTGGAGCCATTGTGGAGAGGTAATTGCTCACCAGCTTAAATCAGGTACCACAGTTGAACTGGATCTTATCCATGTGCTTCAATGAGAACACATTTTAATATGAAAAGAAATAAGGGAATATGAAAGGAAGGACAAAGACAAAGATGTCAGCACGTCTTGGCAGGTGCTTACTATATTGTGTGATTAGGGCTGGGTGACAGGGCTGTATTTTGTCACTAATCCACAGTATGAATAGCCAGCATTAGCCCAGATAACCAGACAGGCCAACATGTCTGTAACCTGATCACAGCAACAAAGAAAAGGAGTTCTTATTCGGGGCCAGTATACACTAGAGAAATGAGAAAGTACAGACTAAAGCTGGCTAAAACAAGCTGTGATAACCATTTTTGGGAAGCTGGCATAAATGCAACAGAAGGCAGCTTGTAGATGAATTTGATTCATTTTATCAATGCAACAAGGACTCTGGTGCATGTGTTTATTAAGCTTGTCCTGACAAAGACCCCACAGTTAAAACTAATGCTGAAGCTATGACTGTAAAATACTTAACAGCTATGAGCACACCTACACTGAAATTAATCTGAAAAATTAAAAATAAGAAAATAATATTCCAGATATGATTGAGACAGAAGGTTTAGATTCCCACAGAAGTGCGGAGTAGCTGCAGGTATGGGTATGCACCAGCAGAGGGCTAAAGAGGCTTAAAGTTAATCGAGCATGCACACTTGCTGAGGAAATGAAAAAAAAAACAGTGACATGACACGGCAAAGCGGGAATCTGTACGTGAATAAAATGCTTCATGTAGTATTTTGAATGCAAGGCCAAGAAAATGGTAGAATTTTAGATAAAAGAAGGTGTAGAAAAGCTAGATATGGGACAAAATTGTAAAGTCGACTAAGATGTACTGAGAGTATAGGGCTGATATGTAATAATGTAGGCAGTTAGTAATAGTAGTCATGTTAAAAAAAAAACAACTAGTTTAAAAACAGTGACTTTCTTTTATTTTGATGTTACATTATGATATCATTTTTTTTAAACTGAAGATTCAGATTTTCTTCCCGAAACAGAAAATTTAAGGGGGTAAAACCTAAATTTGATTGGTCAAGAAATCGCTGCACTAGTCTGCTGCGCTGTATGGAGTAAACATATCTTTGCAAATGGTAGCAAAAAATCAATAAAAACAGACATTATAGGCCTTTATCTGCTCTTACCTGTAATCAAACTTGCAGCAGCGGCGGGAGTGCGTTGCAGTACGTCTGTGCATGTTTTTGTGTATTTTTGTGCATCTCTGTGAAAATGAATGAGGGGCTGGACCGGATGTAGGACAGGCCACCTTCAGATGGGTTTGGAGGAAATGTGGGGCTTTAACCGACAAACAATAGAGCTCCTGCAAATCCTATTGCCTCAAGTCATTTTTATTGCGTCTCTGGAAACCGACGGAGTAGGGCAACGTTTGTTGACAGGCTCATTTTACGCCCCCAGAAGGCCAGAAGGCGGCGAAAAAGTGTAACTAAACCCACCGAGTCCCCAGCGAATAATCTTCAGGTAAGGCTGACACTGGCTGCTAACGAGAACTGGGTAACTAGCCTAAGATAATAACGGGTACCTATTAACAAAGGATTGGGGGGGGAGTTGGCAGTGATTAGCAGCTAAAGAGTCAATCTAATAGACGCCATCCTGTCGCCAGAAAACATTTTTTAGCCTCGCTGTGTGGATGTTGCTTATATAGCATGCTAGCTTGTACCGTTAGCACCTGTCTTGCCTGTGCCGCTCGGCTCATTTAGTCGAACCAGTGTTCACACATTTACTATCTCTATTGGCAGTAGCTAAGACAGTTGGGGTGGCTTTTTCTTTAATGTCGTCTTCTTCTGAGGGAATTGTGTGTGTGTGTGTGCCTGCAACTTTGACTTCACAGAGCAGCTAGCTTAACGGCCGCAGCCGAGCCATGTGTGACAAAAGATAAGCCGTGTCAGTGGTAGGATTGAAGGGACCTGCTGGCTAGTTGGTCTCTGAGAATCTATCAGCCCAGGCATGCCGCATTTGGTGCATACAGACATCTTAAGCATTTGCATTCAGATACAGTAGGTTGAGCTGCAACACTTTGACACTAAGGTACGATATGCTAGAGTTCATGGTAAACTATGACTGGGTTCATTTTTCGTAGTTAAATGTTGCTATATTGCACCCCCGCTTTGTCACGCTTTACGTCGTATGCGCCAGCTGGCTCAGAGTTGACTTGCGTACAGATCTCGTACGACTCTTGAGGTTACTAAAGTTCATTGAAGTCTGCGGCTGTTTTAACCCGTGCTAACTTTATTCTTGAGCCTCACTTTTAACCAGCTGGACGAGCAGTGCGTGACAGGCAAGTAACTCAGCATTTTTATACCAGAACGGGGATTTTTTTCCCTTTTTTAAAATTAAACCAGTGTTGATAATGTGACTGCTTGGTGCAAGAGACAGCTTGGTCGCATACTACTAAGAGTAAAACCAGAAGGGCAAAAGGGAAGTCCGTTAATAAAACTTCACTTTTTTATATTAAATATTGAATGGTAAAGTGTGCACCCACTGCTTCACACTGCCATATAGGGCCACTTGTTGGTGTTTATGCATGCCTTTAATTGACCTTGAGAGGAGGATATGTGGACTGGATTACTGCTGCTATTCATTATTTAGTAATTTTACAAGATCAATGAATCCTGTATAAGTCTTGAGCTGCCATTTATGTTTTTAAAGAGCAATAGTGCTCCAGGTCTTTAAGTTTTTCTTTGGACATTGACTGCTCCCCCCCTCATTCTCAGTCCAGTCCTTGTACCTGATGATTTTCAGAGAAATTATATTTTTTGTTTTTGCTTTATAAGTCTCTTAACACTGACACAAATCATTTAGGAATGGGGGAAAAAAAAGAGGAACCTAAGGCTGGAGAAGAACCAGTGTTGTTTATTCTACTAAGTTGTTTTGTATAACAATTTTAAATAGTATCTTTAGGCACTTTGTTACTAGAACAAGTTACACTTGTTTAGTTGATTCTACAAAAAATTTGTCAGCATGACCAATGATCCCAAACACGCTGACAATGCAGTAAAAGTGTATCTTCTACAAGCACTAGTGTCATGTTATAGAAATTTTAAAAGAATCACTAGTTCTGCACTAAAATGTAATGGATTTTCTTCCTTTTTAATGGAGGCAATGGTGCTTTTTGTTTAGATGGTGCAGGAGGTGAATGCCAGACTCGATTTGATTTCAGTGTGGGAAAAGGTGGATTTTAAAAAAGGGTAAAAACACTAGTTCCTAGGATTTAAGACAATGGTACAAAGACAGAAAAGGGAGAAATTCATAAATCCTACCAAAGATAACGACAGTAAGTCAATAAAAGAAGGCTGGGGTAGCTAGGTAAAATATAGCTCTGCCCACTGCTACAGTCAATGCTCAAAAAAACGCAGCACGATATCTCCACATCAGAGTCGTTGGACATCAGATCGGACTTTGTGCTAGGGAGCTGGCAGGTTAATATCCAAAATGGCTGCATCCGGCACATTTACCTGTTAGGTGTATTCTCACTAAAGTTAAAAATAAAATCAGCCTTTTCATAGTTTAAACAGAGTGGGATGCTCAATAAAATAGTGCTACGCTTTTCCCCGCAGCACGCCGTGCAATAAATACTCAAAAAGAAAACGGCGGCCGTTACAACTTGTGTCTAAAAATATATAGTTTCATGCATCGGTTAAAACACTCGATTCCAGGTACACGACGCCCAGCTGGAAACACTTCACGCAAGTCGAGCTGCCCGAGATTCACAGAATTTACAGAAAATGTTAAATTTTTGTGATTTATATCGTTATCGGACGATAGATGTCTTATATCGGGATATGAGAGTTTGGTCATATCGCACAGCCCTATACCTAAAGGCATCGTTGACGTATATATGCTATTAATAATTGAACAAGCTGTTGATCCAAAGTGCAGTGACTTGCTCGTTTACAAGTCGTAACCTATTGATCTCCTTTATCTAGTAATCAAGCATAGTATTGTCCTACTGGACTTTGAGACATGTGTTAAGACTTTATCTAAGCAGTGTCATCGGGGTGAACAATGTCAAACTTTTGTAGCATTCATTACCTGCATTCAGATTCAGCCTGGTGCATTCATACTCAAACTGTCTAAGAATTTCACATAACTCTCCCTGCTCTTACTAGTTGACCCTCTTTTTGTTAACCTTTGTAGTCTTATACAGAACAGTGAGGGGAATAGCAGCATAATATTCCCACCTTTAAATGGTCTTGTGTTGAAGGACCTAATGTTTAAATGATCCAAGGCTCTTTACATTAGCCAGCTTTTCACCCAACCTCAGTGATAAACCCATATGTAGAAGCTTTGCATAAAATGTTTGACTAGATTTCCATAATGCTTGCTGTGATTATTGTAATACTGACACCATGCAAAGGTGAGATTGCTTTATTTTCATAGTTTTAAATTGTCCCAGATGGCTACACAGCCAATACACGTTAGTAGGATCATCGTTTTTTTGTTTTTGTTTTTTTCCCCCACATAAACAAACCAGTATAAATATGCTAATATGATCATGAGCTCAGCCAGCAGGTTCACATTTGGAGCCACATTTTTGGCAAATACAGCAGGTTGAGTTCACCTTTTAATCTTCCTTGCTGTATTATTATTATTATTATTATTATCATTATTCCAGCATATGCTCTTTCCTGTGCGTGCATGATCATAATTAAAGAAACTAAATGCACTATAAGTGTTCTTTTAGCTGCCAAGAATTACATTTGTCTCTTGTGTAGTAAGTGTTGTGGCTTTAAAACACACTCAGTAGTGCTGTGCAGGGATTTAGAGCTCTTCATGCTTTGAAATATGAATGACCTTCATTGTCCAGCTATCACCATGTATTTTTATCTCCGTTGGTATTTGGCTTTAACACCCGGTGGTAAGACCCTAGAACTGTACTGTAACGTCAACCTACTCGCTTCAGCTATCACTTGACAGTTTATTTATGCCTCTGTCTGCTAGTTTGTGCAAGTATCCGAAGCCTTTGGTAACTTGCCCGCTAGCCCTGTGTGCTATCTTTGTGTGGGTGAGTAATGGAGATCTGTAGTAAATCCTTTCCTTACCCAAGGTACTGTCAAGGAAAGAGGATGCTGGCATGGCATATAATATCTCTATTCAGGTTAGAGTTGCATATGAAATTAATGGGCAACCAGCTTTGACAGGTGGACAGACTTGCCATTGTGTAGACAGAATTGACTAAATGTTTTATTTTATATGAATGCAGTTTACAGAGGTGTTTCATGCTAAGTCTCAGAAAGAAGGATTGTCCATGATATCATTATTTTCACATGACTTGTGATCAACAGGTTTTTAGCTACTAAGCATGTCGCGATGTTAACTGCATCCATCTTTGAAAACTGTCTGTTGTCACTACCAACTTGTTACTGTCAACCGATTCAATAGCCTGAGATTGGTTGTTACAGCAATAAGTTATTGCTGATGTTTCACTGTTTGAAACAACATAAGCAATAGGTGATTATGTGCATTTGTTTGGGGGGGGGGGGGAATGGTACCCCCAAGGCATGCCAATAATCTGAACTCTGATTCAGGCTTTGTGGTCATTTGTTACAGATCCCATCAAAGAATTTTGTGCTTCCATCAAAGAATACCCACTAGGGCTGTAATAAATATACTTAACTAGTTGACTAGTTTTATTAAGTGGAATTTCAGTTAATCAAGATTAAATATATATTGATTTGTTTTAACAAAATTACCAAAAAATACCAGAAAATTCATAGACGTCTGTTAAGTAAGGTAAATCAGACTCGTTAACAAGCCATCCTCTGAAGGGTCCATCTTTAGCCAGTAAAAAACCAATAAGAAAAGACGACTAGATATCACATGAAGAGATTTTTCAAGGATATTGCTGATCATTTCTTTGAACCCATCACTTTCATGATGCAAGATGTTAGTAACAAGCAGCTTATGGCAAGGTGAATCACAATACAGTAAATTATGATTGGTTACTTTAGCGTAACAATGCTATTCTCTTTACTTCACTATGGTTGGGCAGAGACTAGGCCTTCTCTTTGTTAATGTTAATTGAATGTGACATATCCAGGGTACCCGTAGCCTGCTAATCAGCACTAATCTGATACACTGGATTAGAGGATGGGAATGCTTGTAAGACACTGCAAACAGTATGTGTGACTCCTTCCTTTCTGAAGTGAGCTGTCTGTTTTTCTAGACTTCCTTCTGATATTATTTAGCCAAATCTGATAACAATTCATTGAGGTGTTTACTTTATGCTGATTTAAATGAAGATTTATACTTTTTAATAACTCTCGAGTTCATGGGCGAGTTCATTGGTCCCTGGTAAACTCGTGTGCTGATTAGGTAGTTCCTCCTACAGGTTCTTGGGATCTGACTGTGTTCTCGCTGTCATCATCATAATCTCCCTCTTCCCTTCTGTGGGATTATTATGGCGACAAAGCAGGGCATCTTGTGACTATCCTCTGCTATCTGCAGGCCTTTTCTTTGTTTTGTTTTTAGTATATATTTTTTCTGGCTGTGAACTGGTGGAATACCAGAAGCCAAAATGCTGAACCAGAGTGCTGTCATGATCTTCACTGGGATCTGTGGGGCGATGGTGTTCATGGCAATGGCCTACTATGTCTACTGGTAAGTTGAATGTGAGACAAGCGTTGTCCTGTTTCCCCAGCATATTAAGACGTTAATATGCTGCAATGGTACAACTTAATATGCATCCTACCATTTTTAGGTATATTTTCATGACCGCCAAAAAGGTTTTGGCCTTCCACCAAATATTGAATATTGTTAGCAAATGTGGGGCTTTTTTTCCTTAAGCTTAAAATGTTTATCAGCTAGCCAAAAAATAACAGGCAGTGCACAGACTTCTGTCAGGTCAGATTACTTGTGGTTACTTCACCCACCATAGGCAAATTTAGTGCCAGGAAAAACCCAGGTGTTTGCTAGAGACTAGTAGCTGTTGAAGTCCAGCCTAGGCATCATTCGGCTGTTCCCTGCTGTAAGTGGAGCGCAGACGTTTGAAAGCCAAAGTAAGTTTTTATAATTAAAATGCTTTGATAGAGGAGCAGTTCCTGCCAAGATGTGGTTGAACTTTTCCATAATTTAACTAGTGTCTCTAAATGTACATTTCTCATTTTAAAAACTTATAGCAAGCAGCTGGTATAGAAGTTATATTCAGGTAATGTAGAGCAGCAGCAGCTGTCCAGTCTTAAGCAGCTTTAACACAGTCAGCAGTACTAATCTTTCCTTCAGGTTGTGTGGGCTTACAGGTGGGCCCATCACCTTCAGGGAGCTGGACATCAACTAGCTGTTTTTCCTCTATTTTTCTGGATGTCTTGTATGACAGACCAACTTCAATTTCCAGAGTATTTCTATGTTAGTATGTTTGGATTTTGCACAACAACGTTTTGTTTGACTTAAATCTATGTTGGTGTTTTAAGCTCAGTATTGTTGAGATTCTCATCCTATTGAGGGAAAGGGTGAATGTGAGCATTAACTTTTTAAGACCTACCATAGAACCAAGACTGCCAGAGCTTGCTTTATATTTTTACATGCCATTTTTACGTGCCATTTTTGGGAGCATTTCAAGTTGCTATACATCAATACAACTGTTATAGCCCAAAATTTAATAATATGTATGCATTAAGTCCATAGTAACTACATAAATTGCAAAAAAAAAGTGCAATAAACTACAAAAAAATTGAAAATCGTGTTTGTTTGTTTGTTTGTTTGTTTTTTATATATATTTCTACTTGGAGAAATTTAAGAGGTTTATCCCTCAAAACTTTAAATACAAAGAAGTTGCAAAAAATAGTTTACAACAACAGGAAATTTATTTTGAGTGTCTTCATAGTTTTATTTTTGAGATACACCAATTTTTATATACTACAGAAAAAAACGACAAACAATCCTACGATGCAAATTTGCAAAGAAAACAGCATGTGCATCAAAATAAACTATTTCCAGCAGTGCAATTCGAGTTCTAAGCATCCCAGAAACTATTCAGAAAAGCATAAAGTCAAACATGACTTATAAAAACACCAATATAGTCTTTTAAGGCCTACAAGTAAAAAACTACATTTTCCACGAAAATGACATCACTTCCGGTTTCGGGCAGGTAATGGCGGACATGCGATCATTCGCACTGACGCCTATTTCAATGTGGGAAGTGTTACGAACAGCTGATCGGATAAGCAAAGCGTGTTTCTGGAATATTATGTTTTTGTTCCTGCAAGCTCTTTTTATGCAATTTTTGCAAAGCTATATGTGGAAGGAAACCGTGACCTAGGACAAGCTGATGGCATAAGATGCAAGTACAACTCCTCCGGTTTCATATGCAAAATAAAAATTATTGCGCTAGCTCAGCGGTCCCCAACCTTTTTTGCGCCACGGACCGGTTTATGCCCGACAATATTTTCACAGACCGGCCTTTAAGGTATCGCGGATAAATACAACAAAATAAAAAAACTAGTACCGGTACCGGAAAAAAGAAGACCCAGGAAAACAGAGTTAACCATAAAAACGATAACAAAATAAAAGGGTTTAAAGGGTTAAAGCAGTAGTCTTAACACTGAACTACTTACGTAAATAGCTGACATCGAACACTGATCCAATCAGGCACTTGGCCGGCTCACCTGACAGTGAGTTGCCTTGCCATGGTTTTATTGCAGTACCAATACATTACAGTAGCCAACAGAAAGTCCAAATAGAGTGAACATATATGTTGTAGAGGACTCGAAGTCATCCTGTCTGTAATGCCTGATTTAGACTTCAGGCCTTTTATAGAACCTACGATGTAACCTGTGTGGCTGATGTTAATTACCTTGTGGCGGTGTCTCGGTGTTTAACATCCAGTGCTAGCTGTGATAGATAAATAAATAAATGTGACTTTCTCTTTCAAATGTATTTGTCTCAAATGTTTCCACTTCTTTTATACATTGTTTCACATCCGTTCCACTACTTTTAGCAATCTCCCTCCAAGAATCATGCTGACCTTTGTGGTCTTATATTGATGCCATGATTATTATACTGTATATGGAGACATTTTCACCGATTAATGTAAATCTGCAGTGCAAAAATAGCTAGAAATGTACAGAATGAATTGTGGTTCCGCTCACAATAGTGAGCTGTGTTGATCTAACTTGTAGTTACATTTCCAGTGAGGTGCACGTCATCTGTAGATTTCTCACTGAATACAGCCTTTGAAGACCAGGTTTCTTACCACAGAACACTGTATGATCATTGTGTTGTTTGAAAAATAAAATTCACTGCACAAAGATGTTTGAAAAAAATGTAGAAACCATTTACTGTGTCAAGAGTACATGTCTTGTTTACTGGCATGTTTCAAGTCATCTCCTTAACATATTTGTAGAAGGTAAGTTAGATTGTTAGTGATGATCAAGGCTATACAAGTTTATAACATTTAATGCAGTTTAAAAAAAGTCTCCCTTAAACCATCTTTGAACATTTAACTGGAACAAAATTAAAATAACACAATAGAAAAACACTTAGTGGCTACCAATGTTAAAACCAATTACTTGGCTCCATAAAAATGTTAAATAAAAACTGCATGGAAGTGAATGTGTAAATTATACAGTTTCACATGTTTAGCTTTAAAAAGATCTGCTTATGAGAAAAAGTTAGGGAGTAAAAATGATAATGGATTGCATTTATATAGCGCTTTTCGGACCCCTCAAAGCGCTTTACAATTCCACTATTCATTCACTCTCACATTCATACACTGGTGGAGGCAAGCTACAGTTGTAGCCACAGCTGCCCTGGGGCAGACTGACAGGAGCGAGGCTGCCATATCGCGCCATCGGCCCCTCTGGCCAACACCAGTAGGCGGTAGGTGAAGTGTCTTGCCCAAGGACACAACGACCGAGACTGTCCGAGCCGGGGCTCAAACCGGCAACCTTCCGATTACAAGACGAACACCCAACTCTTGAGCCACGATTGCCCCATGAGTTTCCTTTTCGTTTTTTTTTTCTTTTCTTTTTGGCCAGTTAATTCTTAAATGTGCTGTGTGCCTTTTGATTGCTGGTGTGTAAAATTGAGTTTGTCCTGTGAATCATGGCCGCGAGTTGGAGTTGAGTGAAAGTTTGAGGTGACTCAGTTTGAATCCAGCGCTGCACGGGGAACATCTGCTGTGTGTGGAGTAAAACTGGGACAAAGTTCATGATGTGTGTAGAAGTAACTCGCCTGAGCTAACATGCACACACACTTATAGTCGCTGCGGGTTGCCAACGCAAATTAAGATTGGGGAACTTCTCCATCGGCAGCTTGTGGCCAAACATTACAATCAGCTGCTATCAGTGTGCCGAGTTAAATCTTCCAAGAAAAGGTTAAGGCGTTTAGCTGTAAAAACATTAACAAAAGTCTCACTGATTTGGCTTGTAAACCTAGGTTTTTTTGTTTTGTTTTGTTTTTTAACATGGACTCAGTATTTCACAGAAAAAAACACTGTGCTTTCATTTGTTCAATTATAAAATTAGCAGTTAGAAGTTAAAACAGAGAAATAAAAATAATCGTATAAAAATCCTCTTTCGTGCTTCTAATTTGACTGACAGTCACAGGTAAGGTATAAACTTCAAGCTTGAATTGCAGTTTATCAGTAATCTTATTATAGACTACTTGTGTAGTTGCTATTAATGCTTCGTGGCGACTTATTCTGGACTTCCTCATTAACCACAGTGTTTCTTAACCCATCTCAGCCATAAGACAAATATGCAGTATTTAACTTCACCCTCCCTCTCATGCTGTATGCATGACCAAAGGTCACATCTGTAACATAATGCAGAGTTAGTGCATGCTTGGAAAAGTTTAGGGTGATTTCATGTCCAGAGATTTGTAAACACGTTTATGTTGATGGTCTGACGGGACTGAACCAAACTTCTGCAGGTGTGCATTTAAGATTTAATTTTCTTTACACCCAGACTGCTAAATTGATATATATGGTTGTAGTGTGTGAGAGAGTGAGTACACCAGATAAGACTTGTTGCCTACACACTGTAATCTAGGTTTGTGTCCGCAATATGGTTGTATGAAAAACTGGTTGGATTGCTCTTCACTGTGATGGTCGTTGAAGAAGTCTGTTGCAGTCTTGGAAAAGGGCTAATGCAGTAGATTGGGTTACTTCATAATTTTGCCTCTTTTAGTACAGTTGTATAATTTGTTGTAATTGATAAAGTACTCAATTTAGAATATAGTTTGTTAGCCCTCTTAACTGATTCACACATTGTCTTCAATCTACGTTATTTGTGAAGGATGGGTACTGGTTACTAGAGATGGACCGATCCGATATTGCGTATCGGTATCGGTCCTATACTGACGTAAATGACTGGATCAGATATCGGAGAGAAATTAAAAAATGTAATCCGATCCATTAAATATCAAAAAAGCACCTCACAAAACTTGCGACATGGCGTAACTCAGCTCATAACTGTAGCACGTAGGAGCATTGTGCTCACGTGATAGAGCGGCTGTGTGTATTTGGAGGCTCGCTACCAAACCAGCATTTCATCTCTGAGGAAGTTATCCCAGAGAGAAGTAAAGCAAGTGTGTAAGTTCATCTCTGAATGTTTGTAAAGCATTCCCGCATTAAGCTTAACAACCGATATATGGAGCGACTGCCTCTCTCTCCCTCCCTCTCCTGCTGCTACTTCAATCACGAAACTGATTAATGATCAGCTGATCGGCTTTTCTGTCGCGAGTCTGTCTGTCTTTGTTTTTGGCCCACTTTGCACCAGAAAGAGGAAACCAGCGGCTGAATAACAGCAGCACGTTTAAGCTTGATAATCTGTTGTTAGAATTTATTTAATATAACTTTCTACACCAGGATCTTTTTCTATGTTGCTGACGGCTGGTAACTGTGCAGGGGTGGATCTAGCAAAGTTTGTGTCTAGCTTTTAATAATTATCTGAATCTTAAACCAAAGTTTTAATCTGATGTAAAATATATAGAAGTCCATTACTGTATATAGTAACTGTTAAGTCTAATATACCCTAGTAAGCTAGTACTTTTTCCTTTGGGAAGACACCACCTGTGCAGTCTGCAAAGATGTTGAATCTATTTAATTATTCTCGAAAAAGAATTTATTTCTGTGCATTTTTTTTTTTTTCACGCTGCATCAAATTAAAGTTGATTAAGTCGATTAAGCATCATGAGGTGGAGGGTGGGGGTGGTTCCCTATTTTTTTTATTTTTTTTTTTGTTGCTGGGAGTTTGCAACCCTATTAGTTAGGTTGCTTAATATTTCTGCTAAGTACTCTTTAAAATACCAGAATAGGAAGGATGGTGCAGGTTTAAGTTTATTAGATTAATCAGTATTGCTGAACTATGAAATATTTTGGGTGCAGTGTATTTTTTTTACATACAGGTATAACAGAATAGCTTTACTGTTGTTTATTTAAACTTGAGTATGAACTTATACAAAATGCAGCAAGATATAAAAAACAAAACAAAACAGTTTTATTGATTAAAAAACACTATATCAGATTCATATCGGTATCGGCCGATATCCAAATTTATGATATCGGTATAGTGTTATCATGCCATCTCTACTGGTTACACATGCTTTGTATATTTAATGGGAACAAGAAACAAGTCGTTTCGGATAACATGTTGAAGACTGTGGTTGAAGACTGTTGTCATTTGGACGCTCACCAAGCACACAGTGTTTGCTTGTCCCTTGTTCAGCATGCAGGCAGACAGTACACAGCTTCCCTTTTTGCTTGTTTTCTGACACAGTTATGTTAGTTTATGCAGTTGAAAACTCATGTGGATGTTGCTGGCACAAATAGTTATGTTTGTGAAAAACAACTTTAGTTTTCATAATGAGAAGAGTTTTACTTTTACTGCTGAATTAATTCCTTCAAGTTCACTGCTTGATTCCTGATTAACTTCAGTTATACACTGGAATTATTTATTCAATTATTTTCCATTGTATCTTTAGAAAGTTTTGTTAGTTTTATTTGGTTCTATATGTTTACATTTAATTTAACTTGGCTTATATGAGGTAGCACTGGAGGTAGAGGATTGCAAGGTTGGTGGTTTGATCCCTGCTCCAGTCTGCATGCCAAATATCCTTGTGCAAGATACTAACCCTGAGTTGCTCTCAGAGTGTGACTGCGTGAATGTTAGAAAGCACAAAAGTGCTTGTGTGACTAGGTGAATGAGGCAAGTTGTGTAAAGCGCTTTAAGTGCTCAGAGTAGAAAAGCGCTATGTAAGAGAACAACATGTGGTAGCACACAGATTAATGTATTTACATCTTCTGTGAATAATACTGAGTTCAATTCATTTTAATCAACTGGTTATGTGTATTCATAAAGACTTGCATACAGCAGCTCAGAGCTAACTATCGTGCCCTAACCTCAGGGCAATCAGATGTTCCCACTTCATCTACTGGAGGAAAATGGAGAAGCTACAAGAAAATCACAAGCCCAGACAGGACTCAGTAACCCGGGTCTCTGTGTGGGCTTCATAACTTAAATTATGTTCAAGGTTGATGATGTCTTCAAAATGCTGACTACTTTATCATTTTTATTTGATTCACCATAGAAGAAGAGATTTGAAGCTGTCAGTTCAGTTTTATTTGTTTAAAACATTTTTTTAAGATGTTCTGTTGAAATATTTGTTTTGCATTTGAGGGCTATGCAGCTTTGTACTCCTGTGACTATTGCTGAAAATTCATCCATGATGATGATGATGATGATGATGATGATATCAGCTCATCTTTGACATCAATTATGTATGAATAGTGACACGTTACTTTGCAAGACTTGTCCTAAAGTGGTTCACATGCATATTGGAATACTGTGCAAGCTCTGTGATACATACATCCACGTAGATGCAATTTTTGAAGCTACATTCAGTGTCGAAACTTGTCTGTAAATACCCGGGTTGGTCAGCCAGGTTTCATAGCCTTCCCCTTTTGATTGATTCGCCTTTCACCCACACTGAAGAACAATATCTGTCTCTGGCCTCCTTATGTTATTAGCTAAAATAATTCATCCTGTTTGAAACGGGCATTATACATTTATTAAATTCTGTTGTAATGGCTCTGCAGTCTAGTCTGACTCCCATCACTGTTGCCTGAGCCTATCCTCTGCTGTTGTTCACAGGTCTGTGGTGCTGGCAGAAGGGCCGTGCAAACGGGGCTTGTAAAAGGACTCCACCGTGGTAAGAGTCACTGTTGCCCTTTTGAACATCTTAAAGCATGTTTGCCTGAGGATCACCTGACACAAACACCTGATAACCTTGTGTTTACACTGATCTGTTCCTTATTTAGTACCCTGCATGTCTTTTTTCCTTTTGCACTCACTGTGCTCACCTTCTTTTTCTGCTCCCTCCTCAGGTTGGTCGTAGTGTATAGAGAGGAGCCCACTCAGCCCTCCAGGCTCCTCAGCCATGGCTCTGCTGGCCTATCTGAAGAGCCTGTTCATCTTGCAGTTGCTGATGGGCTTTGTGTTTGTGGTGAGCGGCCTCATTATAAACTTCATTCAGCTGTGCACCTGCATCCTCTGGCCGATCAACAGGCAGCTCTATCGCAGAATCAACTGCCGGCTCTCCTACTCCCTCTGGAGCCGTGAGTATAGATGATTCTCATGTGTTGCTGCAGGTTTATTTAGAAATGCTAATTGTCTTTTAAATATGTAAACAAGAAAAGGTGTCAAGTGTCGATTCTGAAATTCACAGATTGCAAATAATTACAAATCTGGCAATAGTGTCACATACAATGAGTTGTGTTTGGGCCATCTGTTGGATATTATGCTGTCTACATAGAAAGGGTTTCAGCTGCATTTTCCACTTGAATGTTTGAAACACTTTCTGTGTAGAAGGGCTTTATATTCAGTCTCCTTTTAGCTAAATTAAATGAGTCCTAAGCAGCTACAGCCTCCACAATTTTCACCAGTTACTCATTAAAATTGTCTGTCAGCTGCTTTCTAGAGTCAGCTTTTTGCTGTTAATGACTTCAGCTGCTTTTATTAACCCTATGACAGACATTAAATGTGAGTAATTATCTAACATTACACGAATCCTAAACGCACAAAGATTTGCTGATAATTCTCTGCAGTGTTGGTAGACTGTTTTGAGGGATTAATATAAATATAATGTAACACAAATATACTTCCATTTAGTACATTGTGTATGGTTTACACTGAAAATGCTCCAAGTGATGAATTTTCTCCTCTAACTTTCTAATGTTCCTGCTGCGTCATCGTCACTGTGCAGAGCTGGTGATGCTGCTGGAGTGGTGGTCGGGCACAGAATGCACCCTATACACCGATCAGGCTACGGTGGACAAGTTTGGCAAGGAGCATGTCATCATCATCCTCAACCACAACTTTGAGATTGACTTTCTGTGTGGATGGACCATGTGTGAAAGATATGGCGTTTTAGGGGTCAGTTGAGCACCACACTTTAAATGATTAACATTTATCAACAGTATTTACTTTTTTCTTAAGAGTGAAGTCAGAGTTGTATAAAAATGTCTTTCCTCCTTCTTTAGAGTTCAAAAGTGCTAGCCAAACATGAGCTCCTGAAGGTCCCTCTAATTGGCTGGACGTGGTACTTTCTAGAAATTGTTTTCTGCAAAAGAAAGTGGGAAGAGGACCGAAACACTGTCTTCAAAGGCCTAGACAGGCTCAAAGACTATCCTGAATATATGTGGGTAGGTACAGTCACAGTTTGTCTGTCGCCTGGACTGTGGTTTAGGTGTAAAAGTTCATCTTACAGACAACTACTTGTGTCTCAATTGCAACCCAGTTGCTCAATCAAGATTGTGAAATATCCTCTTCAAGATACATAAGTGTTGTGATTCTAACAGTTCAGACAAGGTTGTAAATTCTTTTAAGTTAAACCAGTCGTTGCATCAACTGTCACCTGCAAATTGAGTAATCACTGCACAGCCAAACTAAGATAAGATGGAACATGCATAACAAAACATTTCTAGACTTTTAAAGGGAATGATCTATAATCTATCTGATGCTGTAGTTTCTGCCCTTTGCCCCAGTTTCTCTTTCTACTGAATTTATCTTGGCAGTGATACACGAATAGTTCTGAGTACAGCAGCGTTATTTGAAGGGCCTCAACATGAGTTTGTATGTTTGTTTTTTTTTCTGTCAGACATCATGAATACAAGTATCCACTGTGCGTAAACAGACTGAATAGACATTCATTATGCTTCAGACCACAAATGCCTCTTTTGTCTTTAAAATAAATAAATAAAACGTACATTTTCTCTACATCCATCACGTTTTACCTGGTGACAGCTTAGGCCTAGAGTAAAAAGCAGGATTTGGGTTTAGCAAGGAATTCCACGTTGTTGTTTTTTTTTTTTTTTTTTTTCGTATTTCCATGGTTTGGGTGGTTTTGGTAAATGCAGAAGGTCCTGCTTGTGCAGAGCCACTCTGTGGCTTCCCTAATGACCACAAATTAGCGATACAGTTGAGGAAACAAATGCCTTCCTTGTTTCATCTTCAAATTACTTTTGTTGTTCGATATGGCTTTGTATAGCTACATAATACTTGGTGATGTGAAATAAGATTTGCAAATCAGCCAATAAGTATTAATTATCTTTGTTTTTTTACCTGGCTCTTCACACCGTTTAACACTGTCAGGGTTGCAGCTGAAAGAAAATTGTCTTACACAATATAGTAATTCCAGTCAGATCTGCGCCTGCCTTCATTAAGGAGGAATGCTATTGACAAGTCTATAAACTTGTAAAGATCTAATGTTTTCAACTGCATCTACTGTAATACTGGCTGCAGTAACATAGCTGCACCTTGCTGTTAGCTATGATGATTATCTTGTGCCAAAAACTGCACGTTTTTAATGGACAGATTCAGAAAACCCAGACTGACACAACAAGTTTATGGCACAAACGGGTATCCTGAGTTGACTGTATTTTAGCGTACTGTTAAATTGAGTTGACCTTGATTTGTACTCCAGCTAACAGAAGTAGGGTAGTGGATGGGTCAGGATAAAAGAGGTCACCTGGAGATTTTTTTTTTTT